ACTAGAAGACCGCTAGTGAGCGATTGCTGTGGTTAGCGTTAAGCAAGTAGGCGGTTTTCAGTCTCTTTCTCCAAAGCCCACTAGCTTCGGCAAGCATGCAGCTAGAATTGGCTCTGTCGTACGCACTCAAGAGAACACACGGCTCGAGCAGGGAATTGCAACATATGCCGTTTTTGATGCCTAGTTTCCCTACCTCTGCCAAAGTTGAGGAATCCCCTTCTGGCACAGGACGCAGGGTGAGAGATGGTGGAGAAAAAAGGTACTCATTCACCAGCCAAACGTTATGCATAGGGCGGATAGTCGACCATACTTAATAGCATGTTTTGCTGCCACTCAGATATACTGAGTAGCCGGGCGGCCACGGATTTAGTTACCCCCTACCTGGTTATCGTCCAGGGATGGAGGGGGAGTGCGATGAGGTACCAAAAATTGCCCTTGTGATGCTAAAACCTGTGCGCTCTATGCGAGGAAACTTATTGAGGATCAAGAATTGTACTTTTTACCTGAAGAAAGATTTATTATTTATTATTTATAGAATGGAGCCATTTTTGAAACATTCCTATACGTCTAAACTACATGGAGATCGTGAGCAGATTGAAAAGGTCTCGATAGTTCCAGTATCACTGCCAGCTCACTAACATCTATAGAAAATGTCTATCATTTGGTTGCTAGTATACTTATTTTATCTTCCATCGTCCTGAAGTAACTACCAGCTTACACTCTAATGGTTCAAGTATATTTTTGTTCAGCATATGAACTGTTTAAGAGTTATGTGTTCGTCCATCACCTTTCAAGCTGTCGTTCATGTCAGTAACCTGTTGATTTTCCGTTTGTTCCCCAAATCAATATCGCTGAATAGCACTGTGGCTTCGTTCAGATGGCTCGGTAGCAATGAGCTGAATGAGCGGTGAGTTATGAAATTCGGGAAGGTAATATCCTCCAAAGCAAAATGCCGAAAGGAATCTGGTTACCGTTTACACCAGATCAACTTAAAATTCTGAACTCCATGCATAAACATTATTAAATTGAGCATGTCGGTAAATTTATTGATATCGGTTCCTCGGGTGAGATTGCAGAAACTCATAAATTTAATAAGTATATATTATCGAAGTTGACCTCGCCTTAGCAAAGCCAGGTTCTATGCCATATTGATTTTCAGCAGTTAAAAGACCTCTTTTCAGTAGTATGTAACAATACTCAGAACTAGATTTTTGAAGAAAAATAGGGGAGTTCTGTTTGGTGCATTAGCGGCAGGATTTAGCTGGAGTACTTAACGGACCGAAGGTACAACAAACTAAGAGCATGATTCTTAGCCCGTATCGTGCATAAGACAGCACTCACCTCGGAAAAAGCATAACATTAGACATTTTGTGGAAAATATTCAGATCCTTCTATGACCCGGGCCCCATTCATCCCAATAAGAACGCTTAAACACACATGTTAACAAAGCCATCCTGGAAATTAGCCGAAATGAGGACCGAATTTCTCCCTATACTATATTTCCAAATCTTGCTTTAACAGACTGCTTTTCTTAAAACCAGTAACATTTGCTCAGGATAAAATTCTTCCTTGAATATACAACTGCGGAAAAAACCTTTAGGTAATTCACATGCATGCAAAAAGTGCGGATAAGAAAGTTTTTGCTTCAACTGTTCATGCTTCTTCCAGGCTCGATGATGGTTATTTAGATAAACATGTTAAAATCGATAAAATTCAAGCTAATCGTCAACATTTTATGTTTCCATGCCGATTATAAGGGTGGTACTTCTACCAGTAGGCGGAGGGCTTATACGTCCGAACAACGGTCCGCAGTTCCGAAAAGGTGGCCCAGGAGGATGACAGTAAAAATGTTACGCACCTTCTATTTCAATTCGTTGTTCCCTATAGACGTCGTTCATCCATGCACTATCGCCCTGAGCTATAATACACCGCACTCTTGCCTTATTCGGCTTTTTGCCATAGTCAGATAAAACAACACCATGGGAGTTAGCTAGCGCCTTGGATTAAGCTCGAGAATCCAGACCAAACTTTTGACGAACTTAAAGACTTGTATATTATTATTCTTGTGTTGCTTCGGTGAAGGTGGCCACGTTAACCACTATGGATCCCCTTTTTTACCAAGGCCTTTAGAGTATTAACGTGTATTTGTCTGAAGAAAATATCAAAAGTAAAGAAACATCTACTTTTTCAGCTACACCCATCTTTTAAAAATCTGATCCCCAACTACCTCATGTAAACCAAGTCAGAAGGCGGCAGTGGAGTCCAAGGATTTGTTAATATAATTATACAGACTGAGGACGTGAAGCTCGTCAAAGTATTTTCATATACGAAAACGTCTGAATTCTGAAGAAAGGGTTGTTCAGGCAATATTTTTCATCCATTATAAAAATCCACTACTTTACTGTGCCTAAACCGTTCTTATCCCCTACATTAAATGATTAGCATTTGCGCTCGAAGAGTGGCAGATTATGGTCTGACATCAGATTATGCGTACGGGAAGTCCACGGTTAATAGTCGAATAGTTTACAGGGCTTGGCCGATTGAACGGTTATAAATTTCCGGCACAACTGATGAAGTAACTCGATAGCGCATCTTGGGACATGCAAAGAGTTGCTTTCAAAATTTCGGGTCCTTCTCAAGACAGTTCTTCGAGTTCCCGGTGCAAGGGAAGAGGCGAAATCCAAAAAGTAACTTCCAGGGATGTAACTTCCCTCTTTTCATCTGTCCGGGTTGTTCTGCCCGAATAACTCCCGATTTTTCACTGTTTACAAAAGTTAGACTATAAATCAAGACCGCTCGAACGTTGGTGATATGAACGTGTAATGTGTTTATTTTACTCACCCTAACAAAAATATGAGATTGACACAGCTTTGGACAGATTACAGTTTGTAATTATCCACACTGCTCAAGGTCATGTTATCAGGTCAATTAATCCCTTATTTTCAGATGCTTCTCTCTGATTTTGACTGGCAAACTAGTAACATCGACTGTCCATATAGTAGTCCTTTACAAATAATCACCAAAGGAACTGTTGGCAGAACATCGTAGGAGAAGGGGACGACTGGCCATATTCATGAACTCATTTGGTCACCCAGCATCGCATCCAATTAAGTAAATTCTGGTGTATTATGCATGGTCAGAATGGTTATTTTACATTCAATGTAATAATGCGTGGTTTAGTGCCACTAAGATGACAATTCCCAAATGCGACTCGAGGGATCCGAAGATCCTTCTCTTTTTAATTATACTACCTTGGAATTCATACAACCCAGCGTTTAATAGTGTTTCTGCAAATTACTTCAGTCACTTTTTTGGGTTCCCTCAGATGCGATTTCATTTATTTTCTCCGTTTCCTCATTCCAGCTGTTCTGCAGAACTTTTTTATAGTAATTCAGCCTGAAATTGCCAAGGGTGCAAGGCAGAATGTCTCTAATTCCACTTTCCTCTGAGACACTCATTGATGCAAACCAGCGAGTCACATTTTCCTGAGGGCGTTATTATACGCCGGAGACCTAGAGTAAATATGCTATCTCAGGAAATGTTGACTGAAGTCCTGAAATGTGCTTTCAATTTGAAAAAATTGCTTAAGTAGGGTTGTAATTCTAATTATCATCTCGCGAAATACCAAGGTATTCCAGGCACTTCACGATGCTGACTTTCGAACAGACTCTTTATTGACTGTCCGTGTAACTTATTTCCGTAAAAAACGACTAGTATGCTTTTCCCCATCGATTTTCGACGCCCTAATAGGCCCGGGTGCATTTAGTAAAAAACAGGCACAAAATCTCCTTTTTCGTTCATTTGATAGTAAATTAAGTCTTCGTTAAATTTTATCCCTCAGGAAAGATTATCGTTCGGTTACAATTGCACTCAGAGTTTCCAAACTGCACGCTACATATGCCTGCAGTGAAAGAGAAATTATACGTTTCTATATGCTAAATGTGCGGCTAGAAAAAGGTCATGACGGGCTTATAGAATTGTGTAGTGGATGTAGAACACTTTGTCCAGTTTATAAGCAGCATTAATAAATCTATTGATACGATTTTGTTTGGCTGGACATTTCATGGTCTTGAGAAATCTCCCAATTGGAAACTTTTTTAAAACTGAAAGATGCCGTTTCTTAAAAAATAGAATTTGATGAAGACGTAGTTTGCCATCAGAAGAGCGGAAAAACATTTTGTGCATGTTTTTACAAAATATTTTTGAATTTATAAGGACATCGGAAATCAATGGGAAAACTCGTGCTACCTATGTAGCTATTGTCTACGAATGTAGTTCACACAGGCAGTCAGTAAGTTTGTTCGAAAACCGGCATCCTAACGTGCCTGGGATATCTTAGCATTTTGCGAAGTGACCATTAACATGGCAGCCCTATTTAAGTATTCTTTTCTAATTGCAAACATATTTTAGAATCTTAGCCAACATTTCATGAGATTGCACATTCGCCCAACGCTTCTGTCCAGCAGTCGCGGTCTCTGCATTATAAATTGGTTAACAGACCAGAGAATTCAATGTAAAAGCAGGCGAGTTCCATTTTGTAGCCCATCCGAGGTCGAACTGAGTTTAGCTTCGAAACTGCCTGTAAACAAAAGGTTCATCTGTCATCAAAGAGCGCAGACCATAGCAAATCACTTTAGGAACATCTAGCTTAAATATTCTGAGACGGTTCTCGAATAGAGCGGTCATGTTTAGTAAAACATTAATCGCTCGACTGGCTTGGATTCAACCGCGTTTGAACTCCATTACAGCGGCGGACACAAGAGGAATGTCAGCTCGTTTAGTTTATTTGCCATCAACTCACTGGTGACCACACGACTACGCAAATGCTCGCTAATTTGGTGTTTTGACAATCCCGCCCTCGTACGGACAACAGAGCTCTCGAGGAGCGGACGATAGAGGCAAAGGCGAGATAAAGCGGGAAATTAAAGTAAGTCAGGCTGCAGGACTGCCATTTTGGTTGCACCTTGAGAGATAAATAAATCGGGAATTTGTTTTATGGCTCAATCCTTGGTGGCGACAATCCTCTCGGTTTCCTGGACAGGTTGGTCAGGACTCCAAACTTCTCCAGATGTAACAGCACAGCAAAAGGAAATGCTATCGGTGCTTATGGGTGAGGAGGAGGAGGAGGAGGAGGAGGAGGAGGACGATACGTTGGTGGAATCCAGACGTCTATGCGGCTCTGCGGGCGATGGCAGAGCTGACAGAGGGGAACTGAGTACCGACTGTCAAGGGGTTTGGTTCTGAAGTCGAACTTGTGACCCTGGAGAGGGACAAGGCGCTGACAGGAGGTGACCGAGAGGCAACCTTGCGGCCCTTGGGAAACTGAGCCCTTCTTCGTTGGTTACCCTCCCTGACAGCTTACCGGTGGTAGAGTTGGCGGTGGTGAACGTGGTTGCCAGTGGAATGCAACGTAAGAGGCGCTGCTGGTGGCGTCGGTGGCCAAGTGGCGGGATGATGGCTAGGGGTGAACGGCACGGAAAGGAGGCGGCGGAGGTGGAGAACGCGACGCCGATGGAGCACGTACGCATGCTCGTCACAGGCATTAAGCTGGAAGCAGGCCGTTGCCGCCGCCGCCGAGACGTGAAAGCGTCTTGCCGTGGGCGGCACAAGCCAGGACGGGAGAGTGGGAGGGGGAGAAGGAGGAGGAGGAGGGAGGGGGAAAGGGAGGACAAGAAGGTTAGAGCATAGCCACCCCGTGTATTTGCTTTGACCGACACACGACGGGGCGAGGCGCTGACAGATCAGAAGGGAGGCCAGTGTGCGTGTGGGATGTGGAGACGCGCAGAACGGGATGCCTGCGCGATTCCGAACCCTCTACTTCCCCCTTCTTCTGTTCTTCTCCCCAACCGTCGCGGGATACGCGCAGCAGTCGCACCCCGGACGGACTACGTCTACTATCGACACCTTGGCGTGCTGAGGTTGGGGGCTGGGATGGAGCCACCACCACCAACACCATTACGGTCGCCCTGTCGCACAGATCTGTAGCGGGAGCCAGCAAGGCCCAGCGGCTTAACGTGCTCCGCCTTGCGTCGGTCACGCTTCAGCACGCGCACACGCGCGCAGGGACGAGCGTGAATGAATACATACACAGAGGCGTGCATGCACACACACACCACACACACACACACGAGCGAGGCGATGCCAGCAAAACGCGCCCGTGGTGGCAACGACAGAAGAGGCAGCAGTAACACAGAAGCAACTCATCACAGAACACGGCCGCGCGACTCCTGCACCTAGTTCCGTCTTCTGTGTTCGCCTCATTCTCGCCTTTGGCCCCGCCTCTCATATTTACACTTTCCTTCCTTCTCCTACCTCCTCTTTCCCCCTTCTTTTCTAAATTCTCATTCACACGTCCACACACACAGTGAGAAGGGGAGGCGTCATATTCAGCTGCAGGAGCGCACTCCCCCGTTCCTTTCCTCCTGCTACAACTAATATCTGCCTCGCGGGTGCTTCGGTGTAACGCGTGAGCAAGGTGGTCTGCTGGGCTGTACTTTAACTTTTCGAGGCAGGTCATCCTCTTGTGCCGCTGTAAAGTGGCCGCCGTTGGTTGAGGTGAATTCCACTGAACCGAGCAAACAGTTCCAGGAGGCCGCTGAATCTCTTGGCAGCCGGACCCCGTCGAGTCTGTATGTAAGCATTTGTCCTACAAGTAAACTATGTCTATTTTATTCATAATAACTTATGTGGTCGGAAAGTTTTTGTCAACGGCTGGCTGCCCTTACATAGTTCCCAGCCGCTGTTTTCCAGTTTTGTGGTTTTGTGCCAAAACTAATGAGGGGCCGCTATTTGTGACTTGTTGGATGCTACCAGTTAAACGCAAACCACTCCTCTTGTGTACGATCCTCCTTTTCGATGGGGTCTTCTTCTGGAGTGAAGAAAGTCCTTTCGTCTTGGAGGACTGAGGAAGTATATTTCGTCCGATGATTAAGTGAGCATATGTGATATGACTGTGCTCGGATTCCTGCTCGGGTCTAAAGGCCATATTTTCAGCACGACTTCTGGAGTAGCGTACATAGTCCCAAATCATTTTTATTTTTCGCGTTGCGAGCAAGGGAAGCTTTTGCGCATTGTGGCGCTCTTCGGGAGTACCACTTCAGATTACAGTTCTGACGAGGGATTTTTCGATTTGCAGTACGCCTTTGTCTATGCCGGCTCACCTCAGTAGGCAGGGCCTACAGGGTCATCTTGCCTTCCTTTCGGTATCCACTTTGATGATGAGAAATGTGAGCAAAAGGTTTGTGGGATCGGGAGAGAGCTTTTGTGCCTCCAGGACTGTTTCTAAGAGGGCTCCATTCAAAGTTTCAAGACAGACTTAAGTGGTTATTGCAAAAATCATAGTACAGTTTTTAACCGTCCTCCTAATACATTCCAACAAATTGATAGGTACATGGGGTTTTAGAACAGCAAGTTATAAAATAATCCTACCTTCCACACAAATTTACAAGAATAAGTGTCCACAGACCCTTGTGATTCAGAAGATCCTGAAAGCGTGATATAGATAGCCGAGCTGCAGAAAGCATTAGCGCAGAATATCGAAGGCCCACACCGGGCATTTGGCTTTCAATGGCAATTTTAGCTGGAAGATCCGTTCATTAGGGATTGTCCGACTGAGTGCTCTCCACGGACAGCTAGATGAAGCAGGTTAAAGCTCTCAGTCCCCACGCCGTTTGACGAGCCTTTTGGACTCAAGCCTTGGGACGCAGACTCCGCAAAAGCCCATTTATGAGAGGGAAATGAGATGATCATTTATGACGCCTTATCCGTTTATAGTTGGCTGATTAAGGAACTTAGACTAACTTTCGCAGGGCGGCTCTTTAAGGTCGCAGCTTCAGACCTTCCTTAGCTGTGTTTCGGATGCAACCAACTAGAAATTACAAGTAAACCAGCGCTTACAACTTCATCTGCACAGTCCTCGTCAGTAGGACATTTCTGGAAGAAAAACGAAGATTTCTAAACAGAAAACTGTTTGGAGGGAATTAGCTGAAAATCCTCTGTAGTTAACAGGCCGTTAAAAGGGCCCGGTAGAGATAAACTCGACAAAACCCTAAGAATATTCGCACAGCGGTCGTCGTTATGAACTGTGCGGGTCCTGCTACCACTTCAAAATGCCTTTGATGTAAACCAAGGGCGTTGCCGAGTCAAATGCTGTTCAGTCTAGTTGGAGAATAATTGTTTCTTGACTGATCAATTAGTGTGCGCAGTACGGTTTATGTTGTGGAAGTTGATTAACCGGATTAGAACTTGTAAACTAACCATCCAGCCTCATGGCGCTAAAGATCAATGGAACTAGTGAAACAAAGATGCCGATAACCTGTGCAGAAAAGGGCTTCTTTGGATAATATCGGCGACATTACTCATAAGCTAAACGGAGCAATAACCAACCTGTTGTTTTTTCGTAGACATAAACTACCTTTACTTGCTATATTTGATGATGGAGCCTCTGAGGCCAGTAATTTTTGGCAGTAAATATCTCGTCCATCTCTGCTTACGGAAGCAGGTACGATAACTTTTCACGGACCAGTGGGCTGAAGCCGCCAGGCGCATGCAAACATGGAGCTCACGGAATACCGACACCCATCGGTCAAAACCCGAAAACAAACATACACAGCTAAATTTATTGGAATCAAAAAATTTCGCGACGGCTTATCAACTGCAAATTGTCACTGCATAACAGGGATAAAGAATGAGACAGATGAAGACCGCAGAACGAGTCAATGCAAAACAGCAAGGACATCGTTTACTGCACGCTGACTAAGCAAATAAAAGTGGTAACTTAAAAACACAACTTAGGAAAGAAAATGCTGAAGTTAGCACGCAGAGGCAGTGTGCAAATCAGAGGGCTGAGATTTACCAGGTCAGATAGCACCTGCCTAAATGGCTTCTAAAGCAGGAAAATAAAATTCCTCGTTCTTCTATCACGGAGCACTTCCCAGATATCGGCCACACTGTTGACTCCAAAACATCCTTCCGAGTATTAGATTGGGTGAAAAAAAACTCGGATATTGTGCTACTTGGAGGCAGCCCACATATGGTGGGAGAAACCCGGCCTATGCAAGCTGGAATTGATCACATGGTCTAACTGTTTGGGTGCACATCAGGACCCTCGTCCTTCGCCCATAGAAGTGAACGATTTCTTTTTATAGTCGGCGGACACAATTCGAACTTGTTATGAGTCAACTCGTAACCTGAGTCCACATTTCTAACACTTCGGCGAAAACTTTATAAATCTTCACGGGTAATGCAAAGGTAGGGCACTAGTTGCAACTTTTTCGCCTCCTCAGAAAATAATCGCGAACTTGGGGTAAACCAGCCTATTTGAGACTCGTGAACTCAGACTGAAATCTCATATGAATATTTACGTTGAAATCCATGAGTCATAATAATAAGTCTCAAATAAACCGATTCATTCAAAGTTAGCGATTAATTTCTGAGGAAGTTAGAAAGCTGCAATTTCGAAACTGGACTATCTACCAGAATGCACTCTGGGGACCTGATGGGCCTGGCCCCTTGCAACTGTGTCATGCAGCGCCAGAATATAGACGAAACACGTGTCTGGGCTTTTATTTAGTATCTGTGCTATCATGGGTGGTGTGTCATACAGCCTCTGTACAGGGCTCTAGTATTGGAGAGCTAATTAAAACTACATATTCGACTATTGTCGTCCTGACCAGATATTAGCTGCGACAGATAATCTGTTGGGTGGGAAGGTGATCATCTTCATCATTTTGTTTTACTAATTATACTGGAGTTTGTGCTGGACAATTAACCACGCGGAATGTTTATGAAATTTTTGATAGTTTGGTATGATTGGTTGAATAAGTCCAGGGCAGATCCACGGCGAGGGAACTTACCTCTAGGCTTTTTAGTAAATCATTCTATTCTTGTCACGAAATTAGTTGCGCAAGACTAAAAAAGACTACGTAAACTAAAGTCACCTTTAAAATGAACTTCGGTTAGTGGGCCAAGAGGCCAAATATACGACTTGCTGAACTGCTGCGAAGTGCGGTCCGAAATGTTACATGAGGTACACACGGTTTTTAGGTGTCAATACTCTAAAGGAGATCAAAAAGGATGCACTTTAGCCAAATCTTACTTTGAACTTCTCGGTAGTTTGATCTAACACCTTTTTGGCGTATTCCGATGCCCGTTTCCATGTTACGTAGCAACAGGTGGGTAACTGCAGATATATCATGAAATTTACTGAAAAGTTATGATTTGGTAATGTGGTTGTCCATCTAAACATACACACACATATATGCATATATGTGACAGCTGTTTACGCCGTATTCCTGACATTTGTTACTACCTCAAAGCCCAGACACCTAACTCGCCGATATCTCAGCTGCTGCCGAGACGCAAATGCGTGGGGCTTCATTCCTCAATACGCCCTCCAGCGTTCAATATACAGTTTTTAATACGTGAACTCCAGAGAAATGGCCAGTTAATCATCTAGGCAATGATTGAGGGAAGGACATGGAGATAAGTGCCCGTGGCGTGACATTTGCAATCGGATCCAAAATTTCAA